GGTCGCGGTCGCGGATAGGTCGCGAGTAGGTCCCGAAACGAACGTTTATGTAGGTATTGCTCGAGCACGCACGTGCGAACGGACAACGATCACTATGATCGATGGTCGTTCATGTGTACGGGGGTCAGTTTCCGCGGTTTATCTTTTCATTTCACCTTTATAAGTTATTTTCTGCGATTAGAAAGCCTCGAGCCTAGATTTAAGTTTCAGCGGGCATCGCGCCCGAAGAAAAGAAGAGGCCCGGCAAACTGCCATAGAAGAGGGCTGCAACAAATGGCTTATCATCCTCTGGATGGGAAATCCATCTAAAGCATGGAAAGTCATTCTTGTTACTACTTTGTCACTATGCTCGCCTTTAGAATTTGTAATATGTAGTAGTAGTATTTTTTTTTTCTGGTAGTATGTAGTAGTATTTTTTTTTCTGGCTGATGTCTACCATCATAACATTGGGCAAATCGCGATTTTTTATTAGCGTTTCGAGAAATTAATTGCGGGTTTTATTAGAGTTATGAATTAATCAAAATTCCGCGTTGTGAATTAGAATGTTTATTTCAGATTGCATCTGCTATAGTGTTGCGAATTGTAAAATATCGCGATTGTTCTTTCTAGTATCTTTTGTTAAGTGACATTAGAACTAAATTAGAAATTTGTTAAATTTACTATTTATCTTTATCGCGAATAATTGAAATAGTCGCGAATAGTTGAATTCCTTAAATTGAAGTAGTTTTCTTTCGTAATTGAAGTAGATTTCGTTTTAAAAGTTAATGTTGCTATGCTTTTTCATCGTGATTGTTTCGATTACTTTCTTAGTGTTGCGTTGATAACAAATGTCGCGTTTCTTTATGTAGTGTTACGTTTATAAAATGCCCAAACTCCCTCCATTGAAATTGTGCAGATACGTTCCTGAATCACTTAATGCAGTTAAAAAACTGCACAGAGGTGATTGTCAGCAGCCTTCATTACTGCTGCATTGGATTCTCGTAATTGGTGTTCCGAATATTTTAATACGAGTGCATAAATTAATATTTATTAGCGTTGCGAAAGTAAAATAGCCTGTTATAATTTCAGGAGTTTATTCCAAGTATACAAGGCATTCTTCGCGGTTTTCAGAATTTTCTATTTTATGTTTAATTTCAGTAAATTAATGTTACGAAATTGAAAAGATATTCCACCCTCGGTTTATTGTTCGGATTTATATTGAGTGGATGAGCTAATAGCCCTTTTGGCTACTTACTTATTTTCTTTCTTTTTCGGCGCTTCTTATTATCAGAGTGTTTGTTATTGAAAATACTGCTAAAAATATATTAGTTTTTTAATAAAAATATTTTTTGACATTGAGAAAAAGATATAATGAGTATCGCAGTTTGAAAATTTATTACCATAAGTCAGTAATGAATGTTCGTTATTGGAGTTGTAATGTTTTTATCTGTAGCGAATTTTTCTAACAATTTGACATTTTTATGCTTTTCCTTCAACTCTCACTTTTTTAAAGCATTAATCTATTATAAATTTGTTACAGATTCATTAACTTGTAGGAAAGTACCAAATGTACATACACGTGCATGAGTGTGAAACGGATTATACATACATACGAATGATAATATCTCAAAAACAGAATAGACCAAAGAGAATAATTTATAATTAACTGTATCTTGTAGACTTTATTTCAGGAAACATTGTAGGCATATCGCACATCATATTTAATATAATATTCCTTATTTCCTTTTTTTCTATTTTACTTCGAGTTTCATATTTTTATATAAAACTAATAAATATTTCGCGTAAAGAAAGAAGGATGAAACCTGGATGGATTGGAAGGCTCTCTATTTGCATTACCTATACATAGTGAGATATAAATAATCATTATTATTCATTATATATATATTATACACTGTACAATCAGGTATAATACAGTTATATGTTATTTTTAATTGTAATTTCAATCGTTATTAATGTAATGTTTTTATTTTCATGGATAGATGCACATAGATGTGAGATTTGGTGTCAGACGTTCTGAGATACCGATCGTGTAAAAAATTGAAGGCTTTGTTGGTTATGCCCTCTACGGTCGTATAATGTTCAGTTGTAGGTAAGGTATATAATCTGTTATATCTGTTAAGCAGCGTTTGATGGCGTTTGGTCCCCATTAATTTATCCACTGTAGTTTAGTTTATTCATATTGGCAGCCCTGTTGTTGATGACGTCATTGTAAAGTTCCGAAATTGAAATCAATAAGTGGTGTGCAATGTTGTGTGCACATGATAGTCGGAGCGAAATGGTGATTATATCAAAACAATTTGGCAGAGCGTATTGTTTTTATTTGTTAAGAACGAACCTGTAAATATTAATCAACAATATGGTACGGAACACGAAGAAAAAGCTGGCGATATTCGCCGGAACGTCAAAGTGTTTGATATACGTGAGTGAATTTCATTTCGTTTCAGCATGCTCGCTTTTGACGTCATTTAATCAAAAAATATCAGACGAGAAATTATTCTCCGTATTCTCTCTTAATTAGAGAAAGTATTATAGAAATGAAACACGCAAAAGGAAGTGCATCGTAACGTGCAAGTATTTACTTCCTATTTTAATAACTTTCTCCATGAACAGTCAGTTTTGAATTGAGTCGAAAACTCGTTTCCTTATTTAGTAATTCGTAATTTACATATGTACGCACGTTGCAAGTTTGCGAATTAAAATTAGGAATTTGTTTCAGGCAGAAGCAAAGTATTGTGCCTCTGAAATTCCTGGAGAGATAAAATACTATGAGTGAGTAGTTTTCATGAATATGTTTTATAAATGTGTCTATCTTATAATAAGTCAAAAAGAGGGGGAGTTTTTTTTCTTAAATTACAAAAGTTAAGGCGGTTAATGAAAGTAATTAAAGAAATGAAGTAACAACGAGAGATAGAAAGAGAAATCGGAAGAGGATGAAGGTGGAAGAAAGAGAAAAAAAAAAAAGGAAAGGAAGATTAAAGGGAATGTAAGGCATAACAGGAGCAAACATGTAATTATACACGTGCATTCGTTTTAGATGTTCTAGAACCGAATATTGTTGCGGTATTGGTTGTTGCGTATCACCAGGGCTACATTTTCATCATTTGTGGTATTATTGGTGCGCAAAACAGTTTATCAGATCGTTCTAATTATGATGATTTTGTCCAAAGAGATCAGAATCTTACAATTTTCTTACAATTTCTCGTCGTAGGATACTAGTTATAATTATGTTCCTGGTATGCTCCGGTGGTGGCTGGTGGTATCGATATTGGTTACAAGGAAGATACAGAGCTGCTGCGTCGGCTATTCCCACCAGAGCCTCGAATGCACGAGCTCAAAATTCTCTTCGAGGGCCGACGTGTCAGGGACAGAGGGCTCGCATTACGTACAATTCAGCGAGAAACACTGTATTATTGCATCGTATGTGGAAAGGCGAGTGTACACCCGTGACTCGTATAAATAATCGCGACGTATTCAATGTTGATCAATTGATTTGTGTTCTTAGGCCCTCAGAGAAACGGAGCAATGCCTGGTTACACCGGCAACGCGACAACGTCCACCCATTACCAGAATATGAGCGTTATGTTGAACGATGCGAACTGCCCGTACTATCAGTTATACGGTCCGCCTCCAAGCTACGAAACTGTGATAGCTCAAACACGTGGTAAGGTATCAAATCCGGCATCGCCAGAATCGACAAACGCGCGATCACCGAGCATCGCGCCAACGAATTCGAACGTGCCCCAATGTTTCTCTTATACCTGCAACTTCTCTGCGAGATTGAATAACAGTTTAGATCAAAGCGTGCAATACGCGAATGGCGGTACGAGTTCACGGCAGGTCGACGGTCGAGACGGTATCCCATTCGCGCATTTTCCGCAGTATTGCACGGTGACAGAGGGAACTATGAGGCAAAATGTATGCATTCCTTTTGCCTATCAGGAACAATCGTTCGTTACCAGGGATACCTTTAATCCTCTGTACCAAGCTAGTTCCATAAATTGTGTTCCATACCCGATGGACAAGTCGTCAGACACTTCGGACCCGGAGAATCAAACTTATCAAGTGTCGAATACCGAAAGATACACGATGGTAAATGTCGATTGCACGGCTGGTAGTAGTAGAGAACAAGGTATTTGGGAGTCGGACGATCGTTCCATTTCCAAAGCGCACGGTAGTCAAGTAAAAAGAGACACGAGCGAAAGAATTGAGAAAAATTTGGAAGAGGAGCGTGAAAGTACGTCGGAGGTAACAACGACGGGCTTCGACGACACGAAATCGATGGATTGGTCGGAAAATTTCGATTCGGAGTCGAGGAAGGGTCGTCGAGTGTACGGTGGTTCTTTAAAGGCAAGCGGCAGATACGCCGATAAAGAGAGATGCGAGGAATATTCCGTTCAGAGGGCTTTCTCGAGAATTTTGCCCCATTCCTGTGATGGACTTATTAACACAGAGCCAGCCACAACATCTGTCGATGTGTCCCATAACAAAAGCTCTTTAGCAGAGGGGGCTGATGTTAGTGCGAGTTCTTTTCAATCAAATCCATCCAATAATGTGATATTAGAGTGTTTCGGTTCCAATGGCGCGTCCTTCTCGATGGAGAATATCGAGAAAGTCGAACAGTCTCATTCTCGTCTCGTAAACACTAGTACAAATTCTGATCTTGAAAGTAAATTTAGGTTAGACAGATCGAAATCACTGGACTGAGCAGTTATATGGAATACATTGCTATCGTACTACGTATATATGTAGTGCTTATTCTTGTACACGTTATTGATTCACGCGTATTCGTGTATGATCGCGTTACCCCGAAATCGGTCATATTGATATCACGAGTCGTGATCAAACTTTCATCCCACAAAGTTCTCCTGTAATCGATATAACAAAATGAACGCAGTATTGTTTTCTTATCCAACTTTCTGAAGATTGGTGCGTGTGTCATTTGAGCCAAGTTTTTTCGGATTCTTTGTCGAACGAGAAGCAATGCTTAATCTATGGATTGTCTATTTTTTGATATACATGTCTATTATTATGTCTCTCTCTTCTTGGCTCTCTCTATATATCTATCTGTGTATCCATTTATCGATCAATCAATCAATCGATCTATTTATCTATCTATCTATCTATCCATCTATCTATCTATTTCTTTATCTATCTATCTGTCTGTCTATCTATTTGTCTGTCTCAATACGTATGGAGTTCAACTGCATTAAACTATTTACGTATGTTTGAAAATGTTTCGTTCGATGTACATTTATTTTCGTGGAGATCGTGTCGCGAAGCCAGAATTAAGAGTCGCCAGTACGTTCGATATTTATACGAATGTATATGATACACTAGATTCTCTCGTAATTCGAACAAGAGGCTCACGGGACCATATTTAATACTGTTCAGTTTGTCTCGATTATTTATCGGTTACGGGATAATTTATTATCTACCCAACAGCCGTTACCATAACGCGTGACTTGATTGGATCTCGTTTTTTACGATACGTGATACTGCCAGAAATCTTCGGTCAATGTCCCGTTCGAATTCGAACGATCGCTCCGAGCTGTAATGTTAATCGGTTAACATAAATACTCGATTACATATCTCCTTTTTCTTTCCTTTTACGAACGAGCTCAAACCAATTCCAATTACGCACAAGGGCGTCGCTCGACGCTGTACTTAATCGTCCTACATGAACGTATCGGTATGCCAATAACTCGTTAGCGCACCTTTTTCTAATCTTCGCACGAACGTCGTACTTTACAAAGCCACAGAACAGTTTCTAATTCTAATTATTAGGTTAAAAAAAAGTTATATTATAGACTATTTCATACGCCGTATTTTCAAAGGAAGATATTATAAATCAAGGGGATGGAGTTCGAGTGAAATCGGTTCTGTTCCTCTTTTTTTTTTTCTTTTTTTTTTAACGATGGAACCGTCGCTCGTTTTGCTTTCTCAGTTCAATCGAACGTCTTTTACGTGTTACGTATTTCTTTCATGTGCACGTTGATGCAGTTTCGGGAACGTTTAATGATTCTTCATTGACATCCTTCGAGGAACGCAGCAATTCGATGTATGTAATACGTTATTAATTTTAAGATACGCATATGCTACAAAATAGTTTTACGATTATTGCATTGTCAGATAGGATTGGGAGAGCGAGAGATTATATTGCCGCTCATAAATATCTGGACTATAATACGTGTACGGATGGTATACATTATGTCTCGTATGAAATTACTTTAAGCATTCAATTTTTATGTGTTTTTTTTTTTTTTTAATGGGAAACTAATGATCAAAAGTAATACTTTCAACAAAGAATAATGAGTTTTAATTATTTGCGTCAAAGTATCTATTTGTAATTTATCAATATATAATCTTTGCTACTCTGTAATTAAATTACATCATTTTAAAAGTGAGCATACGTCCGGATACTTTTAAGCGGATATATATATGTGTGCATGTATGTGTGTTACGTGTGTTGAGAATAAATGGCTGACCGACAGCTGAGATACTAAAAAAAAAAAAAAAAGGACTTTCATGGATATAGAGTAAGCTAAGGAAGATCAAGTGGGCGACCGATGGTACGAAACGCGGGAAATCCCACGAAAAGGAAATCTAATAGGAATTAAATTTTTTGAATCGTCGTTTACGGATCGCAATAGCTTGCAAAATGCCTTTCTTTTTACTTATCGATTATTGTCCTTTTCAACTTATACATACACTTAAATGCTGGTGCAAAATGGGTTGTATGTATCGATCAGTGTCACTAACAGTGTTAGAAACGAGAAAGATCACAAGTATAAGAGATGATAAGTCACATTTTTACGAAAGATCAATTTATAATATTCAATATGTTGTCAATTACTTTCACATCGAAATTACGTTTCTTTTTCTTATTTCCTCACTTCGAACTAACTCACTTTAAAAACCAACCAAATTAAAATCACTTATTTTCAGAGGGCTTGTATCTATTCCGTTGTTTAACCATATTTAAACTACTAAGCAAGACGGAAATGAGAGAAGATCGATAAAAATGGACTTGTCATAGCTTTCCGGTGTGATCTTGAAACGAGAAGGCACGGATAGGTCGCTGCGGATAGACGAAATCATTTAGTCAGGTTTGCCCGACGAAAGCTGCGTGTTAGAGTTGCAGTTATTTTTGCAACACGTCGAGTACAGTCGAAAGCAGAAATCGCGCCTTCACGTACCATCGCGTTTCTAAGTTTCCGATGCCGAAGTTTTCGATTGTAACAGCGGTCCAAAGAAAACAGTGTACGTGCCAATAACGAGTCCGTTAGATAAGGTAATGTCGAATAGAGCAAGTCGATCGATCTCGTAACAGAGGAGATATTATATATACATAGTATTATTTATTAAAATTATATATAATTATATAAGAATTACACACAAAACGCGTGCGTGTGTATGCACATACATGCATAATTATTTTTTGTAATCGATCCGAATGGATGAACTGTTTTAACAGTCCAATCGAATGAGAAAACGCTAATTAAATAACGCATAAGGTATAAAGTAACATGCCGAGTTACTATCGTTCCGGATTACGGGGGGTCTTCTGTAGATTCAGGAAACACTATATTTTGCGTGCGTGCGTAGTTTGCGTGTTATAGCCCTAAACGATCGATAAATAGTCCGAATGATCCTCTCACCGTAACGTGCAATCATATTCGTATTAATATACTGTAAGATATATTGTACCTCACGAAAAGGGTTGTCTTTGCTGAAATAAAGACAAAATATTTATTCACATAAGAGACTTTCAAAGTGAATCAGTTGAAGGGATTGCTGCAATAAGACGCGACATAAATGAATTCAGAATCATCGTCACTTTTTAACTTGCAATCGATTTCGTAGTTCACTTTGACATTTGAAATCTTTCCCAATCTTCGCCAATTCTATATATAAAATCTGTCCCAATGAATGCAATTTAAACGCGGAGCTGCTTTCTTATTGCTGCAAACTCATCAATTGTACTTTAGCCAGGTTGCGTGTTTCAACTGAATTTTTATTTCTCTCACATTGAACATTGACTGTTTGAAAGTAGATTCTTTATAAGTAGACTGTGGATATTCGTGTAAATTTAGATTTTAAGATCCATAAATATCCGCAGTCTATTTACAAGTGCATACAGCCACTTCAGAAAGCCTCCGTACGCACGACGAAAAATTATCGATATTTTAAACTCCCATTAACTCTATAAAAAATATCGTACAACAGATTTTTAAGCGATCGTCGTAAAGGGAATACTTTAACCCTAAGAGTTTGTGGTGAAGTTAGTTATAAAAAAAATTTTTTAGTTTGAATTTGCAAAATTTTCGAAAGAAAAAGTATCATTACTTTCTAAAATGACGTAAAAATATCTTTGAAAAAAAAAACAAACGCAGGATTTTGGATGTGGAAATTTCACGTTTTATAAAAATGAGTATAAGATTGATAGATCTAAGATTTTTCGTTATAACAGTTTAAAGTGTCGATAATTTTCCTGTTCGGCTTAGAATTCTCACATTTAACAGGAAATTCTCCTGAAAATTCGATGATATTCTAATTGTCGATAATTGTTCATTGTATGTACGAAGACTTTCTGAAGTATCTGTATATCATCTTCTTTACGCAGTAAATTCAATTTCCTAATTTCTGTTCGTCTTTGGTTTACCTGCACGTTTAAATCGTTCGTTAGAATTTTTTTTTTTTCTTTTATAGAAATAAAGTTATTGTGATATGATAATGCGTTACCGGTTGCGCAAGAGGGAAACTACTTGCGATCAAATTATTTTATTCTCACTGAACAGCGAAAGAGAGACAGATAAATAGAGATAAAAGGATAGAGGAGTGATGGTCGAGGAAGAAAGGGAAATACTGTTTTTTTTTTTTTTTTTCTTTACACGAACAAGTACGATTCGCAATTAATTGGAAAAGTAACGCGCGTTTGTCAGATTCGTATAGATAAGAATAAATAGGAGAAATACGATAATACTGTTGGATCAGGATGGTAAACGACACGGTTACCGGCGCGAAGTGACGGTAAAAGATGGCAGGTTGTACCCAGCCTCGGAGGAAATCAATATTGGGAGAAGATTGGTAGGGGGGTTGGAGGTGCGTCAAAGCATCCCCATAAGAGAGAGCCACGGAAAGTTAGGAGCGCCGATATAGTGGCTGAGCCGAGGAAAACGCTGGAAAATGTCATAGTCCTCGAGGACGGTACAGTTTCGAGTAATACCTCTCTTCTCCTTGATTCTCTCTCCATTTTCCCTTTCCCTCCATTTTCTCCCGCCTCGCCCCGTCACTCTACCGTACCGAAACTCCCTCCGTCACATCGTCAAAGCCTAGAATTCGTCCTCGGTACAGTGAATCGATAAATTGTAAGTGATAGTGCGCGAATTGGTGATTACGCGATCAAGCCAAAATGTCGGTGAAGGTGAGTGATACGTATTGAACACATGAAACGTTACTTCGGCTAAATCGAGCAGTATTGAACTTTGAATTTTGATTGAATTGATTTGAGAGAATCGATGAAAATGGAATCTTGATCCGCCCGGCTCTTAATTATATTTTATTATCTTTCTGTCCTTTCGAATATAAGCGTTATAGTGAACTGTAGTTAGAATTATAGACACGACGTCGTAAATTGGTTTGGCATTGTGAATTGCATTTTTTTAAACAATGGACTTTCACAGGAGACGATCGCGTTCATTGTCGTGTGTAGGTGTATACAATATTGTGTATATTATCGTATACATCTATACGTGTATGACACGCGTGCACAGGCCAGAACAAATTTTTCTCGTTATCGCCTGATAATACTGTGTCATTGACGCATTTTGGTGTCATATGGCACGCAGAATCGCACGGTTGTATAGCTAGTGATCGAGCAATCATATGGAATACAATAATTAAAAAGCTCGTAACGAAAACGATCCAAATTTTCAACCTCTTGATGCATTTTAACGAACAGAATCTACATTCATAACAAATGAACGAATATTACCAAAAAAAAAAAAAAAACGATCCGTATCTTGACTTGTGAAAATTAATATCATTACCATAAAAATTTTCCTCAAGAGCCTCAATTTCAAAGAAAGAAAAGATGAAATACATTGAACAGAGTTCTTTTGTCTTCCTGGAAAATGGTCACTCTTGTTATGGACTCTTCAATCGTCATAATTATTTTAAAAAAGGAACGATCCGCGGCTGTAGTGCGGAATGAATGGAACGAAATTTTGAGGGAATTGTGGAAAGAGGGAGAGGATCCTAAATTTAGAGGCGGATCTTTATTAGTTTTTGAGATGTTAATAAAAAACTTCAAGTATGATGCATTGAATTCTATATACCTATATAGACACGACCAGTAAAACAATTAATGATGTATTAGTTATTATCGGTAAAACTGTCTACATGCTAATGATACCAGCCTGTAGGATGTTCCACTTAAACTCTGACTATATATCAAATTTCAGTAACACTGAATTTTTTCTACACAGATGTAATATTTAATTAGGTTCTCTATCAGCTTGACCCGTATTGAAATTGGGTTGGGTTTTTTTTATTTCATTTATTTTAATCGGCCGGTCACCAATTATCTATAAAACGTTGATAAAGTTCTTCAATGTTGGATTTTAAGTATAACACCTTGTAGAAACTGAAGACAGTATCGCTCAATTACGTCATCAATTATTTGACAGTTGACAGCGACCACGATGATTATACGACGCTGACTAATAGATACACCATAATACAGAGTATGGTATAGGCAAAATTCAATCCACTGTACCCAAAGTAGTTTCTTTTTTATTGTATATCTCGGAAACTAAAAAAAAAGATCCGTCGCTAAAGTTTTGTACTCGGGATCCTCTCCTCTCTGCCCCGGCCTCTTGAAATTTCGTTTCATTCCAACGAATGGGCCATACCGCCTCGCTTTCCTCCTCAGATGCGAGCGTCGTGAATATATAGCGGAACACGATGCGAGACGAGAAGCATTCTGATCGTATTAACGAGGCTACAAGTGTCCGTTTCCTGCTAGGAGGTCAGAGACGAAACAAGCAACTCGATTGTGGACGCGTGCGCGCGCTTCTTCAGATCTTCGTATTTGCACGCGTGCAGTTGCCGCGTGCAGTAGCTTGCAGTTTCGACACAGGCGTTCGGTTGTGTTTCTTTCACCAAGTGTTCTCTCATCGTTGCTTCTTTCTTCGTTCGATCATTGCGTTTGTTTAAAGATTTTTCGGTCAGTCAGTCTCTCTACAAACTCTAGTTGTCATTTGTATATATGTATACATATATTTATGCAAATTCATATTTTTATAAATGCAGTTCAAGAAGTGGAACCCAAACAGACGAGTAAGATTTGAATCTTTGAATACTTTTGCATGTTTGACACACTCTTTTATCTTTAGATCTCCCATGTAAATATGTAAAGATCCGTAGTTCACCAATCATATGTAAGAAGAAAGTCCAATATATGTAATGGTATTTAAAAAATGGAAGATTGCGCAAATTTCCAATTGATAAATTTTTTTTTTTTTTTTAGTATTCCGCCGATAATTTTTACTTTCATTCTCGCAGCGATGACATTGAGGGTTTCACTCGTTGTTGAAATATATCGTCGGGATATATATAGCTTAATTGCGAATGTACGAATTACAGTCAAATTGAAGAATACTGCGGGGGATCGGATGTACGTCGTAACTGATTCTACTCAATTCCATTCTGAGCAATTCCCTGATTAGAATGAAAGTTCGGCTATTTCAGAAATGTTTACTTCACGAACAATCGTGTTTTCCGTTTCATTTGAAAGACGAATGAGAAATCCAGGTGTTTGTAACCTAAAGTTTACTCGGCGGTATGTATTTTTAGTTTCGTCTAAAAACGTATCACCATGAGTAATTTCGTCAGTGAATTTTCACACTGTGCTCCCGCTACCGACACTTCAAGATACCGTATGTTTTTTTCGCTTAATTCTTGTTCTTGGCCGTGGTGTTTTTTTAAAATTGTTTCATTCCGATTTGACTTGATCTAACGCAAGATCCTTTCATCTTCCGTTCGATTTGAAAGAATCAAAAGACTGCAATCCCGTTGTTTCTGATTACAACAGACTATGAATTCATATATACGTAAAGTTCAGAGAAGTTGCAAAGAAGTTAAGTTCTATTTTTTCAATATTATAACAAGTAACGTAGTCGCCTAATATAAGACCTTAGCTTATCTTCGATGTGATTGCGATGTTTTTTTTTGTCATACTTTAAAAATGTGTAAAAGAAAATTCAAGAAAGGTGCTTTTAGTCAAGAGTTATGTTGTTTAAAATACATTTCACATTAGGCGACTTTGTCCTATTATTCTTTGGATATTTTGTATATTTTTCCACATTACGTGCGTTCTTTATGTTCTTGCAATTTTTAATAAATGTGAAAAGTCCGCAATCGTTTGTAGAAAGAAAAATGTCATTTGCTCTTGTTCATTAATATCTTTATTTTTGATAAAGAAAATTTGAACACGAAACTGAGTAAAATTTGTGTCTGTGAACGACCACGTTTTCTAGCTTGTTTATGATTTTGTTTCAGATGATGATGTACAAGCAGGCCGAGTTCGAGGACGAGGAGAACAGCAGCATCGGCTCTGTCGCTTTGAACAGCGAGGGTATCAGCACTTCGGCGACGCACATCAGATACAATTCGGTTGGTTCCCTACTTTCCTCGCGCGGAAAAGCGAAAGAATTTCAAGAAAGTAAAGTATTTGTACATAGTTGCTTCAAGTCGGAAGGTTTTGGGTCGAGCATTGATAGATATTCACAGATTAAGTATATAACGTGAGTAGCGCGATTCGAAAATTCTGACCTTTCTAGTCTAGTGATAAGTTTGTGAAGAATAGCTGTGAAAGGAGCTTTTGATTTATGTACATACTGTTCTACATAGCGTAGAACTAAATTTATACTATAAGCGAAGTTAGAGAGAGCCTGTGGCTGAGAACAACATGGAACTCTGTTGAAGACTTTAATTTTAAGAGACTCGAGTTTGATTTTATCTTCACAAATTTACATCTGTTCGTGTGTTTTTGGTAAATAGGGATTCTCGCTGTGGAGAGCTAGAAGTCCACTCGAAAGATGTCTCTTCATCATTTGCGCGGGATTTTTATTGATGGTCGTGATGCTGTCGATAGTCATCAGCAGCAAGAATAGCTGGGACGAGGCACAAATACTTCATGTCACCTCGCACGGAGAAAGTGAGCTATGAAACAAATATTACGTTGCTGTATATTATATCATAATAATTGTTTAATTATTTGTTTTAATTACTGTTTTACTAGCAATGTGTCTTTTTTCTTTTTAGAAATTTATTATTTTTCTCTTAAGTAACAGTATAAATTATTGTGGGTAGAATCTCTGGAAGGAGAGTATTTAGATGTGTGATCTTGTTTTAGATGGTACACCCTGTTTAACTGAACACTGTGTCACGGTAGCCGCCTCCATTATAAATAGCATAGATCCTTCGGTCGATCCGTGTGACGATTTTTATGAATATGCGTGTGGTGGTTGGATCAAGAAAAACCCCATACCAGAGGGAAACAGCATGTGGGGAACGTTCGATAAGTTCGAGCAAGACAATCAGCTGGTTATAAAGAATGTTCTTGGTAAAAAAAAAAAGTGAACCATCTGTAACTTTGTGAATGCTTGTGGTAATTAAGTAATTTTTTTGGGGAAAAAGGCTTGTAGATCTAAATATATAAATATGCAGGATGTTTCAAATTTGATGGAATCTATTAAATTTAATTCTCAATTACTTTTTCCATAAAATCACTGTTTTCCACAAAGCTGACATCAGACTCGTACTCTGCTGTTCTCTGCTGACTCTTTCATTTTTCCTTTCTTGTAATTGCAGGAAAACCGTTCGAAGAAATGAAGTCAAAGGCCGAGAAGAAAGCAAAATATTACTTTCTCTCCTGTATGGACGCGAATGATACAATCGAAACACTTGGCGCGAAACCGATGCTGGATTTATTGGATTCTATCGGTGGCTGGAACATTTCTGGGAAATTCAATGTTAGCCAGTGGTCCTTGCAGAATACTATGCATATTCTGCAAAATGTTTATAACATGGATGGTTTGTTTGCATGGGCGGTAAACGAAGATGATCGGAATAGCAGCAGACACATTATACAGGTAAGGCACCATTTGGTATCAAACTGGAATCAGTATCATTTAGTTACATAATAAACAATTCTCTTGAAATCTCGTCGAAACAATATAATACCTAGAATAGATAGTAGACGAGATCAACTGGCAAAAATGTTAAAAGTTTCCCGAACAATTCAAATGATATACAATTAATATACAAAATGATTTATATTTTCAAGATCGATCAAGGAGGTTTAACGCTGCCAACCACCGACAACTACCTAAACGTCACTAGTAATAAAGTGTTGGCCGCTTACTTGGAATACATGACGAAGGTACAATGGCAATGATTTACCTCGTTTCGTTTACCTCGATTTCCTTCATTTTCGGCACCTTGTAATCTCGTAACCGGTGAATCGAGTACAGGTACTCGTACACGTTTGCAGATAGGCGTGCTGCTAGGTGGAAAGGAAAATTCGACAAGGAAACAGATGGACGATGTGATAAAGTTCGAGACGGAGTTGGCGAGTATTATGACACCACTGGAGGATCGCCGGGACAAAGAGAAGCTTTACAATTTGATGTCTTTGAAGGAATTGCAACGTAAAGCGCCTTTCGTAAGTATTTTGAATTGCATTTTCTCATTTGTCGCACAGTTGACTTTTCACTAGTTCATAGTTAAATACAATGGGAATTATGATTTTTCTGTAATTCGTACCGAAAATCGAGATTCCACTGTACCCTTGTTATTTCGTGTTATTTCCTAACTACTCGATTAACTGTAGATATCTTGGTTGGACTATTTTCAAAATGCAACGGGGCTCGTTAACATAAAGATGACCAACGAAACAACGATCGTGAACAATGCTCCAGAATATTTCGTCAAATTGTCCAAGCTGGTATTAGACTACAACAAAACGAACGATAAGAAAGTGTGAGTATTCTCTCGAAAATCTACGTTGGTTAATCCATTTTCCTTTCTTTTTATCTTTTTCACCTTGTTAAGGATAGGATTCTCAAAATCTCGAAACTTCTCGAAATTCGAAACTTTTCTCGATTTTAGTTGCTGATGAAATAGACAATGCTCCTTAGAAAAAAGGAGGCAGGAAAAGAATAATCATTTCGAGTTTCAAGATTCGAGTTTCGCGGGTCTGAAAGTTAGGTTTCGACTCATCTCGACTCTATTTTTTGCTCTCTGTCCTCCTCTTTTTTACTTTTTCTTTTTCTCTTTCTCTTTTCCCCCGAACAGGATACTGAATAATTATCTGGTTTGGCAAACCGTGAGAACTCTAACCGCCTGCCTGTCAAAACCGTTTCGCGACGCTTACAAGGGCCTCAGGAAAGCTTTGATCGGCTCGGAGGGCCGCGAGGAGCAATGGCGTTATTGCGTCAGCGATACGCATAATGCGATGGGTTTTGCAATTGGTGCGATGTTCGTTAGAGAAGTTTTCCATGGAAAGAGCAAACCCATGGTTAATTCACATTCAATATTTTTCAATGATAATAGATGTACGTGCTCCTAAGAGCGATGTCGGCTTTAAACGGTGATTTAATCGATTCCAGGCGGAGAAGATGATCGATCAAGTGCGCAAAGCTTTTACCAAGAACTTGAAAAACCTCGATTGGATGGACGCGGAGACGAGGAGGGCAGCCGAAGAGAAAGCGAATGCGATCACCGATATGGTCGGGTTTCCGAATTTCATCTTGAAACCGAACGAACTCGACGAACGTTACAATGATCTAACAATAAAGAAGAACGAGTATTTTCAAAACAACATACGGGTGAACAAGTATAATTTGCGAAAAAATCTAGAGAAGCTCAATCAGCCTGTGAATAAAACTACTTGGATAATGACGCCTCCCACAGTGAACGCTTATTACTGGCCTACGAAAAATCAAATGGTTTTTCCCGCTGGTATCCTACAGAGTCCGTTCTATGATATAGAGAATCCTAATAGTTTGAATTTTGGTGGTATAGGCGTTGTCATGGGGCATGAATTGACTCACGCATTCGACGACCAAGGTATTGGCGTATTTTCTACTATATTTTCATTTTGACTTTATATCTCTCTATTTATCGTTTTCACAATCTTAGGAAGGGAATACGATTTGCATGGAAACTTGAATCAATGGTGGAATAACGCTACGATAGAGAGATTTAAAAACAGAACTGAGTGTTTCGTTGAACAGTACGGCAATTTTGAAATACATAGTCGACGCGTGAATGGACGGCAAACATTGGGTCAGTTACACTAATAATTAGACTGAATGATATTTTTTAAGATTACACATCATGACCAATGGAATTGATTTCTTTTAGGAGAAAATATTGCAGATAATGGTGGTCTCAAAGCAGCGTTTCATGCGTATCTTTCAACGCCTATGAGCTACAAGGATCAATTACCTCTGCCTGGTCTTAATTTGACACATCGACAATTATTCTTCCTAAATTTCGCCCAGGTGAATGATCTTTTAATTATGATATTCAATTCTCTCAATTGCTTGATACACAGATATTAAACTCTTTTATTTTTACTGCATTGCTGTATTAAAGAAATGGTTTATTGCTATTAGGTTTGGTGTTCCTCTGTAATGTCCGAGGCAATAGCTCTTCAAATCAAGAAAGATTCCCATTGTCCGCCAAAATATAGAGTGATAGGGTCACTCTCAAATCTACCGGAGTTTGCAACTGAGTTTAACTGTCCCGAAGGATCGCGAATGAATCCGGTTCACAAATGTGAAGTGTGGTAATGCGTCTTTCTCTTGGATTGTCTGTGTGGAACTTGTATCGTTCAATTTCATTGCCGGTATCTTACGGAACGAGTCATTGCAAAAATTCAGATCGCTTCGCGCTTCTATCTCCAGAGCAACGAGCGTCACTGTTTTCGATCTTTTTCACTTTTATTTGACCGTTGCGAGTAGAAAGTAACGTAAACGAGAAGAAGCAAACTAGCGATCTTTTACAAATGATCGTGTACGCACATGGGATACGCGAAGCCTGAATATTCCACGAATGAAAGAAACGAGAGATAGAAGCGACGAGCGCAACGAATCCCGTTGCGACCATGTGATTTTATCCAGTGTGAAATGTTAAACGTCCATTTGCTGATTCGCACTGCTGATTTATTCAAAGGCATCAGAATCATAAGGAGAATTGAATCTGCGCGAGTTCAAGTGTGTGTTTCAGCGAACGTCGAACGAGTTATATGTAATTTCAATAGGATCGGATCAACTTTTGAGATTTCGTAATTCGGATAAATCAAACATCGATCGAAGGTCGGCTTACACGCGTTCAGTGTTGTATCGATTCTTTTTTTTTTTTTTTTTTTTTTTTTTTTTTTTCGTTCAAAATAATCGATAAGGCCAGTTCTGGAGCCAGACCACGGAATCGTTGAATTTCCTTACACCACTATATATTCGAAACGCGCCATACAACGCGTCGATGTAAATTCACTGTGGTTCATCGTGATCACTGGGGACGATTTAATCCATCGAACCAATCGACCGACCAACTTCTGATCGTCGTTTTACCCGTAAACAAAAGCGCGCACTTCTACGTGATAAGTGATTTTTCACTTTTATACTTGAAATCATTATTATCCGTTCGAATCGTACGATTCGAGTACACGTTAAAGACGTTGACGCTGCATACATAACACGTTTAACAACGCTTGTATATATCTGCAGAGTATAAAGGCACATTCATATTTCTCCATCCAGTTGACACAGTGCATTCGTTCCTACAAGCAACGAGAAGAAACAGATCAGCAGCAATTTAAAAAAAGAAAAAAAAAGAAGAAAAAAAGAGAGTAAAAAGATGTGCAGTTGTAAAAACAAAGAAATAGTTTATTCAGTTGGGATTTTTTTCTGTTCTGTTCCATTTGTGCTGAAGCAGCGATTCTCACCGATCTCGATGAGCCATGGCGATTATAAACGGCATATTGCTGTGATTTCTGCAGGCAGGAAGTTAAGCTCTAGCAATAAGCTTAAGAAATTTAATTTTCTAAACAAACTACATGCTATACAGTTATATATAGGATAGAAACGGTATGTCGAGCCAAGGAGTGCAATTCAAAATGTTTCTACGGACGTTCGAGCAAGTATTTTTAAATGCGTTTAAAAGTATATTCGATAATTAAATGAATCAGAAGTCTCTTTCATTAAAACAATCTGAAATAAATATGGATAAAATTTGTGGAAGAAGTTAGAAGAAACAGAAGATTTATTGATAAAATAGGCATTTAAAATCTTGAATACTTGAGCCTGATATTTGAAAATAATAAGAACAGAATCAAAAGTGAAATCGTCCAAGCACAAATTTATTGGAAGATCTAAATATTTATCTTTATAAATAATATATCTCGAAGATTCATTTTTGTTGTTCTTTCAACCATCGAACGAACGTTCGTGATTAACAAAAGAAAGATGATCGTCGAAAAATATTGTATATTTCATGCTCGACTAATTTCCTTTCTTCATTCGATGACGAATGAAATGTAAAGTTGATGACAGTCGTCTGTTATCTTTTACGTACATTACATACTTTACAAAGAAGTGCAAGAATGATCGGGAAAACAATTTCGTGCGTTGAACAAGAAATGTTTCGAAATTAACAATTGTGCCGGGCGTTCTAATATTGTATAATGTTCGAAAACATATCTTTCTTAACGACGCACGTGTAAATCAAATAAAGGATAAATTAAATAATAACACGAAGATTTTATTAATTGCAGGAAAGAAAAATGCGACACGAGAGACTTGCGTAATTTTTATTCCCTTTGGCTTCTCCTTCTTCTCCCATGAGCGAAGATTAGCATGAAAAACTGATATTGGATTCTTAATTTATTTTGTCAAAAAAAAAAAAAAAGAAGAAAAAAATGCCACAGACAAACAGTGCAAGAAATGCATAGACAAAGTAATTGATTTCTAATTTTATGATCTTGTGAAATTATTCTTCTGTGTTAGAAAGAGATATTTCTTTTTTCTTTTTTTCTTTTTAAATTGGTAAGTTCTTTCATTCGTATCTAACTAGTAATTGTATGAATAGAATACAAATCAAGAATTCGAACAACTAATGAGAAATTAGAAATTTAACGTGAACAAATTATTTCCATTAATTTATAGGTCGCAAATGTGACGGCAGATGATACTAGAAATAAAAAGAAAAATTCCTACATGAACAATGGCAGTATTTCAATTTGTTATACGTGTAATTCATGAGATTTTTATTACGACATTCGTCAAGTTTTATCTTTTTCTGTAAGTATTTTAACAATTTTGAACGAGAGTGTGGAATAATTTTAAAAACTTAAGAAATTAGGGAAACAGTTTTAGAAGCATTGTAATTTTGAATAAATTCATTTTTTCGACGACGTTGACACGTTTAAGACCTGTTAATCAAACAGTTTCCACATATCGCTAGATAATGGTAAGTAAGTGTGCTGACAAATAACGTTTCTGTTATGACGCGAAGATACGAGCAAGTTCTGTCGATACGAAGATATTGTGTAAAACAAACGATTTAATTCTTTATGTTAACCACTTTTAAGGTATCTAAGATGATGAGTAAATTAAAAATGTAAAAGAAAACTCGTTCTTTTTGAATGTATTCAGGGTCACGGAAGCATTTGAATACTTATAGAAATCTTTTATGAATATAGGTATTATGTGTGTTACACAGAATCTGAAAATGTAGCAGTAAATGGCTTGTAACTTCTATATACATTTCCAGATTGGTTTTAAATTTCACTAATATGATACTCGTGTCTCATTACAGAGCTAATGAAATTTCAGGAAGTTTCATATAACACTTAGAATGTATTTATAAAAGTTTTCTATACTGAGTTTCCTATACCTTCGCGAATCACAGTACGTAAGACCTTCGTTTTGAATAGTCCTTTCTGAAAGCTTTCTATTGATTTTCGATTTCTTTTCGTAGGTACATAATTTCTAGTTTGCAGAACATAATGCCGAATCGAATTACTCAGCTTCAATTTCGCTAACGTCACTTCCATGCCTGATCCAATATTGTCGTCGAAATTTTAGGAATTACAAGTTACAAATTACACACATACCAAAATTTCTAAGTAAGTTTTACAAATTCTAAATTAAAATAATTTAAGCTCCTGTTATCCAGGCTAATAACAAAAATTGAATAATCCATTATCGGAAACTGTTTGGTCATTTGAACTCTCGCGTGTTCTCCGACTCGTCTCGATAAACGAGACTTCGTCGTACTCGTATATCTCAATTTTCATCGTTCGCAAAGTATCGTCAAGCATGGTGGAGATGGAAGTGCTTGTTAGAATATTAATCGGAGAATGCCTTGCGAGATGGTTGTAATCGGAGTACTGTAAGCGTAATAGCCAGAGGTGTCGAAATAAATCACCGTGACTACCAGTAGTGCGTGAGCCTCTCCATTCATCACCGTCTGGCTGGCCGACGGTCCTGCTTTCCGGTAAATCGTTCTGCATTTTCGACGAAGAAACGCCTTTATTACGGTGCACGCACTAGCCCCCCCCCCCTCCCCACTATTTTCTCTTCCCTTCTATCAACCCCCTTTTCCCTGTGGTACTATACTTATACCTGTCTAGACGAATGAATCATACGAGTATTTTGACCCACCAGTGTGTAGGTGGTACACGGAAAATTGGTCAGATTCCTCGTACGGTCTTTCAATACACTTTCAGCATACTATGTTGTTCTATGTGATAGTTTCCATGAAATTCAAATGAACTGGAACCGATGTGACAGGTACGAGTAATACTTGTCTGTGATCGCCATTTTTATATGATTTGTAATTCGTTGAAAACGATCTACGATACGTGAATCCAAAAAGTTTTGTAGAAAATTATGGAATAGTTAACATTTTGGGGTAATTAATTCTTCGAAATGTTCAAAGATAGATATAGATAGCAAAAGTACAAATTTAGATACCATGAAACTCGGCGGTGTGATGAATTTCAATTTTCCATCGCTTCTCTGTCAGTTGAATTTTATAAAACATGCGGATGTATATGAAATGTGTTGATAAGAAAATTACAATTGGAAATTGTTTAGCGATACTCGATACCGACTTTCGAAAAGATAGATTTGCAACAGCGTGTAACGCAATAACCACACACTTGGAGAACATTTATTTTAAGATAAAACATACATTTTTCCAACATTAAGGAACTCCTCAAGAAAATAAAGATTTTTTTTTAATTCGCAAGCTATTGTAAATCAAATTTTTCTGATCGTATCGCATTATGCGCAGTAGATATTGGGAATATCATTTGTGCATCTTTTTTTGAGATCGTTGCTGATAAATCGAATTCAGCGGTGTACCGAAGATAAAAACACGTTTCCTGCACCTAAATCATTTTTTAAATATATGTACAAGCAAGATCAACGTTTACTTCTGATGAGTAAAGCTTTAAAATTGATCAACTTGATAACCTTAAGATGTCCAGAATGCGCGATACCTTTTTCTGTATCGACTTCTCTCGGCTCCTAATATAACGTGTGACAACGTCAGATAACGAAAACGTTCATTGAAATGTCATGTTTGTTTACAAGACAGAGTAGAAAACAAGCAGTATTTTGTGTCGCAACGAAATTTATAATATTTGTTCAAGATTGTATGTGACGTTCTAATTAATTTCAGATATGGACGTTTCACGTACAATTTCTACGATAGCGGTAGTACAAAACTATCGTTACGTTGAACATGTTGAAAAATGTTGAGAAATTATACAACATATGTGTTAAGACACAGCAGAAAAGAAAGATTTCCAAAAGTAGTAGCTCGTTAGTATGATATAGCAGAGAGAAGAAAAAAAAAAAAGTGAAGGAGCGAAGATCGTTTTTTTCGGAGTCACCTGCTATTATCGAGTCATTTTTGGTATAGCAGCAACGGTTTTCGATCAGTTCTCGCGACAGATGACAGTAGCAACGTGTGGGGTATTAGAGAACATGTGGACCACGGTAGTTTTACCCACTTGTGTGTGTGTGTGTGTCTGTTTTTATTTTATCTTCTTCATGTTTCCCCGAACATTCGTAAAAGTCGACTTTCGACTAAATTTTCAACTTCATTTTGTGTTACAGCTGAAGGCGTGCAGGCGATCGTGTTTCTTGAAAATGGAGCTTGATTAATATTTATGCATTTGTGGGAAAGTTGAACGCGGAGAACTTCTTATTTGTACCGTCCGACGAAGTTGGAAAAGAGGTTTCTTTTTTTCTTTTTTTCTTCAAGTTTGGAAACCAACGACCGAATATGCTGATCGGGACACGCATTTTGCTTTCTGGTATCAAATGTACACGTCATGGTTTAAAAATAGCCGATTTCACTGTTTTGTAATGCATCACGTAATGCATTTTATATCAGCGCACGATGTTTGATACAGCGAAGGATTTGAATTGTTTTGAAGATCGATTTGGATTTTAAATGTGAAAAAAAAGTCGTAGATCTTGTTCTCCCTTTCTATATCTGCATTCCATTTGCCCCCCTCCTCTCTCCTATTTCGCTATCGTATCTACTCCATCAGAGTTAAACAGTGCGCTCTCGGTTCCGCTGATCAAAAAATTCGATTTTTCGGCGTGATCGTTGCGAACCAAAGAGATATCGCAAGGCGCAGGGTTTGAATCGAATTTTAAATTTTCTCCCCATGCTGAATACATCAAAGTGCGTTAAATCTATTTTCGCAAATTCTTTTTTTGTTTCGAAGACTTTGAAAATTCACTCGTACGTTGAATACAAGACAGGAGAAGAAAGAATAGATTTTATAAAAAAAATGGGGATAATTTTACTTAAATTCTTCGATTGATTTTCAATGATTTCAATAAAGTATAAAGAAACACTATATTACTTATTATCATTATTATTATCATTGTTACAACAATAGCCATTGTAATTTATACATTTCAGGACGAGTATTGAAACAGAGGAGAACGTTATGCATATATACAAGCAATAGGCTGCATTTGCAAAGCAATGTGGAGAAGTAACAAGCGGTGAAAGAGCTACGAGGAACGAAAGGAAAAAAAGGAAAACAAAAAAAAAAAAAAGAGAAAAAGGTGAAGAAAAAGAAGGAAAAATTGTAACGAAGGGGGGGAACACGAAGGTAGCTTAAAAGAGATTACGATGGAAGATTGCTGGATTGCTGGAGAAAGATACAACGGATGGATGACAGGAGAAAGGTGAACCTCCCTGATTAAAGGGTCTGGCGGGAAAGGGGCGCGTGACGAAAGGGGAAACGAAAGGCTTGGGGTAGAGACGTATTAAGGTGGCTACGAGAATGGGGCAGCGGTGGAGGCGAAACTGGCAGCAAAGAGGACGAGGAGTAACAGGAGGAGAATATGGCCATGGAAGGGAAGAGAGGTTGTTAGCGGTGGTAGTAGTGGTGGCAGCGATGGCAATGGTGGTGGCACTGGCGGCGGTGGCGGCGACGGTGGTGACGGCGGCGTCGGTGGTAGAGGCAGTGTAATGGGAATGGTGCTGTCGGTGGTGATGGCGATGGCGACAACAACAGCGGCAGCAATAATGGTGATGGAGGTGGTGGTGGCGTCAATGTTGGTGGTGGTGGCGGTGGCGGTGGCGGTGGTGGTAGTGGTGGCGGTGGTGGTGGTGGCGGCGATGAAGGTGGTGGAGGAGAAAGAGAAAGAGGAGGTGGAGGCCAGTCTATGGCAGCGGGTGCACGTTCAGCCTCTACATGCGAATACGTAAGATACTACGAGAGAGAGAAAAAGCGCCTATACGTGCGCAAGAGGGAAGGAGACGGTAAGTGAGAGTAAAGGGTAGAAAGAGAAAAGAAGAAAGGAGAAGAAGAAGAAGAGGAGGAGGTCTCCGTGTCGACATATATGCGATGAGAACGCGCGTCTCCTGACTCAGTGCTTGACAAGCTAGCAAGCTCTTAGGATTCATCGAGTTTTACCGGCACAACACAACATAACACGCTTCGACCAGCTGCCTGCCACTGTCACGCGAGTTTCGCTTCTTCTCTTCTGTTACTGTTCTTCTTCTTCACGGGCCTCTTCCTTCCGAATTCGTTCGCTCGTTTTCGTCGCCTCTTTAGCAACCGATTACTTTTCGATCACGACCAGAGAGAAGATCCAACGGGTCGTTTTTTATTTTCCACGATAGATTGTTAAGATTTTTGGAAGGGGAAGCGCAGAGGAGAAAGGAGAATATTTGTAAAAGAAACGGGGAAAAAGGAACGAAAGAACGAAAATATCGGAAATCGATCGTTCGGGTAGGAAGTAAAAAGTGAAACGAACGAAAATCAGCGGCTTTAACTCATTATTGGTGACATGACGCCCAAGATACGTTTAAAAAGATGCACAGTGCATCGGTAAACAGTGTGTTGCTAGCGCGCACATGTCTAGATTAAAGTTCGCGCGTGAACCAGAGGTCACGAGGGTTCACCGGATCATTCCGTTCCAAAAAGGATACGGAAGAAATCCGATCGTTACGCGGCCAGTGAATATCGGCCTCGAGTGCAATGTGGTTTTTAATACATCTTGGTGCTTCTAGTGTGTAACTATGGTAAATGATATTCTCAGTGATCGCTATAAACAGAAGTAATTGGAATTGAAGTAATAAGGATTCATCCATCAGTTTTGTCGTTGCCCGTACCGTCGACAGAAATTTTTTAGAGCATATCTTTTCGTTCCATAACTGTTCGACGAGTTCGACTTTGCTGTTTGAAATTACGAAAGAAAGTACGCCAACTTCCGGTGAAACTTAGCTCGGTACAGACTCGCAAGGCGTTGAGAGAAGAAGGAGAAAACAAATCGAAACTGGATCGTGTGGATCACGATCGCGATCGCGATCGATTCTGTTCGCCTGTGCACCGAGCGATGTATCGACTGATCGGCACGTTGACGACAACGAGTTGCCCGCTATCTGCGGAAGGAAGTTTTTGGTAAGAGTGTATCTCGGTTTTTGCAAAATCAAAAGAATAGCACCGTCGAATAAACAACGGAAGAAGTTCTTTTCACGGAAGCGAATAGCGAAGAAGGAGGAGGAGCTGGAGCAAGAGAAAGAGGAGAAAGGGGAGGAAGAGGGAAACGAAGAGGAAGAGGAGGAAGCAGAGGGGAAGCGGAGGCAGAAGGCAGCAGCGGAGGTGGTGGTTGTGGTAGTGGTATTGGCGGCAGCGGTGGAGGAAGAGGAGGAGGAGGAAGAGGAAGAGGAGGAGGAGGAGAAGCAGGAGGAGGAGGAGGAGGAGGAGGAGGAGGAGGAGGAGGAGGAAGAAGCAGAGAAGAAGGAGAAAGGGGAGGAGGACGACGACGACGACGACGAGAAGAAGGAGGAAGTGGAGGAGGTGGAGGTGGGGGTGGAGGAGGCGGAGGGGGAGGGGGAGGCGGGGGAGGAAGCGGCGACGGTGGAGGAGGAGGAAGAAGAAGAAGAAGAAGAAGAGGAAGAAGAAAAGGAGGAAGAGGAAGAGGAAGAGGAAGAAGGAAAAACGAATTCATACGAATTCTTGATCCGTGCGAGATAAAAGAGACGGAACAAAGGGGCGAAGGGCAGGACACCCTTTGCGGTGGAAAAAGGATCAGTGAAAAAAATCGGCAAAGCGTAGCGATGAAGTTAAATATTTGATCGCTCGCTTCGCGAGGGAAACCGATCGTAACTGATCCGACTAAGAACGACCTTGAGCAAGATGGTCAGGGGGGCGCTGTTACTACTCTTGCTACTCCTCTTTGGTGCCTTCGACGTTCCTGGCATCGAGAGAGTTCGTATCAGATATCTGGCGAAGGCTGGTAACACCTGTAACGCTTGTAGGATGCACGAGGAGATCAGAGCCCTCAGTCTTGAAGCAATCAAGGAACAAATTTTGAACAAGCTCGGCTTGAAACAAGCCCCAAACATGACAGGCAGAGCACTGCCAAGAATCCCGCCGATCTCGAAGTTGATGGATATGTATGGAATGCAAGCCGATCAACCACAACCTCTCGAGCCCGGCATCTCTCATCACGAGGAGATCGACGAATATGCTGCCAAAACAGAGAGCGTCTTCGCCCTGGCGCAACCTCGTAAGTTTCAAAATCCTTTTTTCCATTTTTTCAGCGAGAAATCAGCAACACTCTCTTCCTATCAGTTCGGTGATACCTACGAGTTTACGACGCCTATTACGGTTACGCGTAATTGATAAATGATTCTACTACGTAAAAAAAGAAAAAAAAATGTTGTTACTTCACTTTGCAAGATTATTTTGCAAGACTCACAGCTTCAACGATCATGCATTCCACGTTGCAGCTGCTACATTTTTCCTTGGCAATATTAACCAAAATTAACCTTTCCAACCTATCGAGTCATTTATTTTATTTATCTGTAATCGTGTCCGTTGTAATTTGTTACATTGTAGTTTAAATTGAAACGTACCGCGTTACGAACGTTTGCTCGATTAAACTAAGGCAAAAATGATGCAACTTGCAGGCCCATGGCCATTTATTTATTAACGTAGTTAACGAGCAAAACTCTTAACAAGATTAGCTTTCTTCGTCGGGGCCAAAGTGTCATAGTCGTTTAACGAATTGCAGGATTCGCATCGCTTACTTTAAATTCGCTCGATCGTTTCTCCTCGAATAGAAAAATATTTCAGGTTTCCTCGCTTGTTCTGCTTCTGCCGTCAACTGAAACCGATGATGCTGTGGGGCATCGATTTGAAATTCGAGCTTGCCTCTCGGCCTCGAACACGGTTGAACTTTCCTTTGGGATTTCTGCAGGAACGTTTCAACACAGTTTAAATACTCTACTAGTATATCTGTTCAGAAAAATCTGTGTCTGTAAATGTCCAAATATTTTCTCGCGAGCCAGCGTACATGGAGCATATTCAGAAAGTTGCGAAATACGTAGAGAAGACGTATGCACGGATTAAAGGAACGCAAACGGAGAGGAAGGATCCTCGAGGCGAATACGTCTTCACTGTTTTTTCCAACGTATACTACGTAATAATTACGTTAAAGCAGTAACCTATGTTTAGGATTGTTTCTCCTTACACGTATGCACACATCATCATTCTCTTTCTCCTTCTTGTATCCGAAAGAGATTGGCGGCTCATTTTCCCTCAAAAAATCAAACGTTCGATCAAGAAGTGCGCGAAGCCGATCATTTCAGAGCGATTTTAAATTTTAATGGCCGATTACATACGATCGTCGGTTGACACGACTCGCATGAAATACAACACGCTATCTTCCTGACACGTTCTTAGGTGGCCCGTATCTTGTGATTACAGGTGCTTGCGAGAACTTTTTAACCGAAAGTTGAAACATTATCGCGTGATTATGGGGCGATTGTCGGTAGACGATCGACAGAAATCACTATGTACTTACTTTGTCGGCAGGCTTCGGCCGCTATTACACGATCAAATTTTTGCCTGGATAATAGTAGAAATAAGCCGACACGTTTGTTAATTTGTTCCTCGAAAGCACCATGACATAACAAGCATCCTTTGAGCATCGGATCGGAATATCGACGATCCTCGCTATCCTACCTCGTAATTATTGGTTCGCCTCGTTTGAATTTAATCTTAAACACAGTAATAATACGAACGTACGACATCATCATCGGAGATAATAGCGTTGCGAGTCATGATTTCGCGGGAACTTGAATTTCGTACGTATCTGTATTTAGTTCTTAAAAGCATCGATCACGTAATTTCACAACTTGGCAAGTTACAGTTGCAAATTTCCACGGAGGGACAGAAACCGGAATTTTTAGAATTCAGTCAGAGAAACTGTCTTACACCGCTGTAATCCGCGGCAACAGAATTCTCCTCAACTCTCTCTCTCTCTCTCTCTCTCAAGATTAATTCACTGGAAAGGACTGTTGCAGCTAAAAATGTCTTCGTTTCGAAAGTTACGTCTTTCGTTATCGGGGAGAGATTAGTTCTGTTGAAACGATCTCAATAAGAATATATAACGAAATGATTGATAGGTTCGTTATATCGTGAAAGACAAATATCTGAGGCTGAGTGGTAGATGTATTTTTGAAGTGTGTATGTGTGACTCAGTGTGTATGAGACTCAGTTTGCAAAGACGGCTCTGTTCTCCAGCAGTGCGAAAGCTGAAAAGAAGCTAGTGACGAGAAACACGGGTGGATGGGACAAGAGAGATGGTATCGTGGCTGGTGGCGATGCCGATGCCAAACCAGTATCTAATTCGTAGAGGGTTATCGCCTTAGGCCACCTATATCGCTCTTCACGAACCGGCTGAAAGTCGATCGCGCAGGAGGCAATCGCACGATCTCCACTATTCGCCTGTGCGAACTTTTTCGTCTTCCTTTTCGTTTCTTTCGCCTCATCCTTGCCTCTCCTCTTCTCATTCTCCCCGCTTTTTCCACATTCGTGTGTGCCTCTAACATCCCTCCGCTTCCTCCTTCCCCTCTCCACCCTCTTTCTCTCTTCTTTTTTTCTCTCCTCTCTCTCCCCTTTCGTAGCCGCACACGAGCATGCGCGTCTACACCCACACAGAATATTCCTTATCGTCTTTCGCTTCTTTTTTCATTCATTTTTTTCTTTTCTTTCTTTCTTTCTCTCTCTCTCTCTCTCATTTTTTTTCTTTGCATTGCTTCTCGTGGACGTCGGCATTCCTCTCGTATTCACCCAATTCATTTTTTTCTTCGTACTGCTTGACTCTCGATCTTTTCTACGCTTTCATTCCCTTTCCCTTCGTGTTTTCGTTTCGGCCCTTCTCCTCGTTTATTTTCTGTTTCTTTTCTTTTCTTGTTTCTTTTTTTTTTTTATTGTCTTTTTCGCTCGACGAATTCTTTTCGCCCATTTCTCCGTATATACTTATCTTGATCCCTGCGCTTCGGTGAAACAAGCACAGATTTTTTGTTCATCGACCTCGGGAGATCGATCGATCTTTGTCACTCGGCAGTTGGTCGATCGCCCCGCTCGATGTATCGGCTATACACGCGGCGGTGCACGATTCCTTTACTTCTGCTCCGTTCCGCGAATGTTTCAAACGATTCAAATCAAATCGCGGCCCGGCTATGTTCCACTATCGTCGCTCGCCAATCGGAATCGCCCTTACTTGCTCAATACGTGAAATTAGATCGTCGTCTCTGTCGACGACGATAATTATACGATAATTATACGATAATTACGATAGTTGTGAATTGAGAATTAAGAATAATTAGATAGAGAGAAATTTATGTTCTATAATTATACGTTCTATGATTATATATTGTAATTGAGATACAAAATTTCGGTCATAGATTAATGTCTATCTAATTTATGTCCCTTTTCTTTCTTTTTTCTCTGCACTTTGCGATAACGTCAAACAGACACATACGTAAATTTGCAAGAACTTGCTTCATTTCAATTTGGAATGTAAATTCCACTTTTTGCATTTGGCACATGAATTTCGATCGAGTTGAATGCTGGAAGTTGTTCAATTTTCATTCTCTCGGGTATTTCGCGATAATGGAATCTCCTTCTTTACCTAATAAAGAAAAATATCATGTGGTAGCACGTGTAACGACGTTTGCCTCGAATAACAGACACGTAAACATAACCGAGAGGCTGTTTATGATAAATTGCACCGGAAATTCATAGTTAGATATACAAGGTTGCTGCGCTTGCATTCGAAAGCCTGTTCTGTTCTTAACAAAAAATGCGATAACGTTTGCTGACTACACTTCCAAACCCGCGATTGCCACCACGTTTCCACATTTCTGGCATATTAGTTACCGATATTCGTGCGTCATGATTTCTTAATCTGAACGGGGCTCGCATTTCATTCCGTTCCGTTTCGTTTCATTCGCTGTCACAAGTTACGGTGACTCACGAATGTATTTGAACACAAGTCGCACACACACACACACACACACACACACACACAAAGCTTTCTGTGTAAAACAATTTTGGTACTTTACTACAACTGCCGTGATTAAATTTAGATCGATGTAATTAATACAGAAAATTCTTCTATATATGTGCGTGCGCGCGCGCGCGCGTGTGTGTGTGTGTGTTCAAATACTTTCATGGGAGTGCAACAACAGCAGTCGAAGTCGATCGATGTGCATAAATCGGGGGTGGGAAAATTGAGCGTAGAGTGCGACAAGAGATGGTCCAGCGATCGATACGATGAACGAAACGTTCTCGCAGCGCGAATTCCAAGTACACACGAACAACGAACCGGCCTCGATCCGCTACGAAGGTCACGGTCGCTGCACAGCCTAGGTCAGGCCCATCGCTTATTATCGCGTTAAGGCTGTCTCTGGAGGTGACAGGCCGTTGTTAGAACTTTCGTATTTTCGGCTGCCACGCTTCGGGACAACACGCAGCCAGTCGCCAACGCACTGCTCCGTCTGTCTGTTGCGTGTCGTTTCGTTAATAATCGGCGATATCAGTCTCGGGCGGGTGTACACATATTTGTCGCTAGACTGCAGATATTTATAGACTCGATGACCACGAAGGTGGGGGAGGAAAGAGAGAAAAAAAGGAACACGATAAATACGTTTTTATTGACTTTTTAATTTCAATATCTTGCCGCACGACGGGAAGGAAACACATTTAATATGAAATAGCTGAACGTGATCCAGCGACGTACAGCGACGAAACGTAACAACGTTGTGATAAAGGAATGTTTTTAAAGTCGCCGAGCCGAGGCAGTGGAAAAATACAGGCTCAGTTTCAAAATTAAAAAAGAAAGAACACGATTAATTGATAAAACGCTGGATCTTGCGAATCATACCTCGTGATTTATTGCGCTCCGTTCGCGGATGACTTAAACGTACAAAAATGTGCCCGATTACGTATAAAAAGTATAATATACAGAGTGTGTCGAAAGTCAAGTATGTATTTGTTACGATCAGACCGCGCGGATGGGGATAAAACCTTCAAGAGTACTTGCAAGTCGGTGAGAAGAGAACTCAAAGAACGCGTTAGGATTAAAAAGATGGATGAAAAGATCTTCCTTCTTCTTTTCTCCTTTACTTCTTTTTTCCGCCCCGAATATGTAACGATCGATCTCTCTTTCGGCTCAGTTTCATCATATTTTTCGATGTATCTCTCGTGCACATTAGT